TATATAAAGTTAAAAATTTATTAGTAGAAGTAAAATTGCAGTATTCTACACTTTCCATTAATGTTGCAATATTCTATACTTTCTATTTTAGTTAGATAGTATAAATTTGATGCATCTTTTAGGACAACATCAATTGCCATATTGTGTAAACTGCACCCCAGTGTTTTAAATTTCAAAAGCGTAGCGATGATCATTCACTAACAAATTTGTGTGGAGTCGTTGGAACGATGATCTGAATCGGGTTAGTCCAGATCAGTGATGCAAAAAACTATTAAAAGTAAATAAAATAAAATAAAAACAAAAATAATTATAAGGGTCGGGATTTAAGGGGACCTAAAAAACACTAAACAAGCTTTAAAAATGGAATTTTTTTTTGGTGTTTTTGTTTTAAGTTTCACCATAGACTTTCATGCAATTAAAGCCACTGTCATATTAATGGCCGAGGTTTTCATAACATTTTTTTTTGTTATAATATAAGGGTATGTGTAGAATTTCGTTTTGTGAAAAGCATTACTAGGAAAATATCCGTATGGTACTCAAGCTTCCAACCGTCCATTTTTTAATGGAGGGCTAAGATTGCTCCAATCACAATGTCACGTCTTTACACTATTTTGTTTTTAATTTTTTTTATATAAACTATTTTGACACCAAAATTTGGACAGCCATTCCTCTATTAAACTTGCACCAATGAACATTGAAAGTTTTCCCAAATCTCATAATATTGTTGCTTGAAATACTAAAATTTCCGATATATAATCTTTTGAAGTGCAGCATTTAGGATCTTGAAGATGGATTGAGGATCCAAAACTCCACATGTATGTTATCTCGACCACTGCAATCATGAACCCCAAAAAAAAAAAAAAAAAAAAAAAAGACTGCACATGTATGTTATCTTTAGAGTTGGTCCATCTTATTATACTTTTTGGAATGGACTGTTCAGTTTTAATTCTCTCTGCGATCATTGTTATATACTCTAAATTCATATCTTTGAGGCTGAAGTGGTATTCAGTGATTTAGAATATGTTTCACGTCTTAAAACCCATGAATAATAGGGTGGATGCATGACTTAGAGGACTTACCAAAAACTTTTTTTTGTCTTCAAAACGCGATTGATGTAGACCTCAGGCTTGTTTAAATGACAATTAACTTGATATAGAATAGATTATGTTATCTAAAATTAATAAATATTGGATAATGTTATGGGAAAATTACATAAATCTCTTCAAAATCAACTATTCATTCAATTTACCCCCACCTAAACTTTCCTCACTACTTTTTTTTAAAACCCATACATCCTAACAAATACCCCCCACCTAAAAAAAAAAAAATACTAAGACAATACTACCCCTCCCTTACCCACAAACTTATTTTTACTCTCGCGCTCTCTCTTTTCACTGGCACTCTCTCTCTCTTCACGATTTACCCACCTATTTTTACCCACCTATTTTTACTTTCTCTCTCTCTTCACTGGCACTCACTCTATCTTCATGATTTACCTGCTGTAACCAGTCTGACCTTCGTATATTGCGGTCCGGTGATTAGGAAGGGCAATCCGGCATTTTCATGGGGCACTCCGGTGTTTTGAGGGGCAGCTCCGGTGTTTTGAGGGGCAGCTCAACGGTTAGGATGCCAGTCTGGAGTTCGTATACTGCGGTCTGGCGACTAGGAAGGGCAATCCAGCATTTTCATGGGGTATTTCGGCATTTCATCTCATTGGAACTGCCCGGGTCCAGCATTCTGAGGGGCAATCCGGCGGTTAGAGAGGCTAGTCCGGCATTCTGAAGGGCAGTCCGGCGACTAGGAAGGGCAATCCAGCATTTTCATGGGGCATTTCGGCATTTCATCTCATTGGAATTGCCCGGGTCCGGCATTCTGAGGGGCAATCCGGCGGTTAGAGAGGCTAGTCCGGCATTCTGAGGGGCAGTCCGGCGGTTAGGGAGGCTAGTCCGGCATTCGTTTATTACGGTCGAGGGATTTTTTTTGTTGGACGGACGGTTCCACGTTAAACAAATTCGATCAGATAATTTCATTTTATTGGACTAGAAAATGACTTTTTTAAAATACGGAAGGGTATCTTTGTTAAAAAAAAATTCACTTTTTGTATTGGGGAGTATTTGCTAGGAAACATAGTTTTTGAAAAAAAGTTGTTAGAAAAGCTTAGGTAGGGGGTATGCTGAATGAATAGTTATATTTTGGGGGAGGGGGTTGGTTATGCAATTTTCCCTAATATTATTGTCTTAGTTGTTTGGACATATGTTTTATTATATAATAATATTATTTAATTATTAATTTTTTTTTGACAATTTCTAATTATTTTTAGCTATTTCATGCTAAAATCATTTGATTGCAGCAAATCACTTTAAATAAAATAAAAACAACTGTTTAAAAAGGGCATGATTTCATGCAACGGTTGTATCAGACTATAATGCAACTACACTTCTCGAAAACCATGTTTTTGGCATTTTTATAGCCCTAAAGTTTGTGCACATAATTTCTTCATCCTCATAATTAATCTTAAAAAAAAAAAAAAACTCAATTTGCACCCTAGATATGGTCAAAATGAGTACCCTCCAACAATAAATCTCGACCGTCCATTTGGTGAATTTCAAGATTTAGGCCTTGATAAATTCAAAATCACTTTTTTTCTTTTTTAACATTGTTAATCTAATGATGATAACACTATATAAAAATTTTGAAAATAAAAAAAATTCTTCTGAGGCCTATATCCAACCATCAACTGAAATGGACGGCTATGTTAATTAGGTTAGAAAAACACTTTCTAGGTTTCTTTCAAAATTTTATTTCTTGCAATTGTTCTTTATTATGAAAAGAGTATACACCTAAAAAATTATGTCAAACAAATGTCTTTGACAAGATTTTTTAATGTGATTTTATTATATTATGATACAACCGCTTGCATGAAATCATTGCCCTTTTAAAAAAGAAAAAAGTTTACATAAGGTTGCAACCTTAAAATGTAGAATTATGAATGCACCTCAAAAATCCACCGAAAAAGGTTGTTTTAATGTTGAAAAACCCTCTAATCGATCACATCGACATCGAGATGTATGAATAATAATAATAAAAAAAGATTTGAGTCCCATAAATATTGTATCTTGCAACACATCATCTATACCATTCATTGCCAAGATTTTAGTATATTTATAGATCTACTTGATTTTAACCTTTTTTAGACTTTCAAATTTAGTAATTAGAGATGAAAGTAGATTTTAAGATAATCCTAATAATTTTTTACACCAAAATTACATGTTATGATAAAATTTGGAGGTGCACCTTATTTGGATTGTTTAAGGTTGCAGCCTTATAGAAATATCACCCTTTTAAAAAAGATCAACTTATATGTAATATGAGTAATGATCCTATGAGACCCTCCCACACCATGTGTGTAGGATCCCAAAGGATCACCATTAAATTTGGTACAAATCTCTAGGAAAGTTATCACATGGGTGTAGGACTTTTTTAAGAGATCTGTGCCAAATTTAATGGCGATCCTTTAAGGTCCTACACACATGGGTATAGGAGGGTCTCATACGATCATTACTCATGTAATATATCCTATAAGTTTATCTCATAAAACTTTACCAAGATTAATTTTCATTATCAAGATTACTATATTGTTGTCATGAATACGGCAAGGAGATGATGTTGTCATAAACAAACCAATGCATCCAACTAAATTCCAATCAGATGAAAGTGAACATGATCATGTTGTAGCCATGGAGTTCAACTCTCTAAGTACTAGAAAAATAATGTCCCATGATAGAGACTGACCAATTTTGAAGAACAAGATGTAAGTGTTAGAATACTCTAATTTGAAATGTTTTATTTGGAGAATAATCATAAAGTAACTCTTAGGTGGTTTTCAAAATTTCATATTGAAAATAATCCTCTTAAGAATGCCTTTTGATCAACGGATTAGATACATAATAGTGTTCCATTGGGAACATATTACATGCAATACCTAAAAATACTTCTAACTTGGGCTTTACCCGACAGAGCAAACAGGTAGTATGGTCCCGCAAGATCAACGAATCATTTGGAATTTTTTATTGTTGTTATTAGAGTTTTAAGACCCCAAATTTTTGATCCGACTCGCCGATTCGAATGTGAAGTACTTGGGGATGCTACCCGTTTCCGTGACGGTATGGGTTATGTGATGGTATGGTTCATGCCAGTTTGCCCTTAAAACCCCTTATATATATATATATATAAAAGTTTGTCTATTGTTTTCTTTTGTTGCTTCAACTCCCATCCCATGTGCCCCTATTTTTATTTTAATTTTATTTTATTTATTCTAAATATTTTTTTTGGATCACTAAATTAGACCGATCCAAATAATTGATCCAACAAACTGATGATCCGACATGAATTTGAGGGTGAAAGGTCCTTCCCACCGCATTGTGTTCAAAAAAAAAAACGTCTGATGTAAATCAATGGACCTAAGAGCCTGCTGGCCCACCAATGTCCATCTTTAATATGGACTTTGTCTAAAAGTGCACCAGATATTATTATATAAGGACGGTTCACAAAAAATCCAATAAAATATATTTTAGAGTTTAAAATTTATTTATTTTTACATAATCATGATCGCCTTGGTTTTGATTATAAATCCCTAAAATTATAGATAAAAAATTATCTTTAAGATTGATTTTAGAAGGGGCTTGTATGTGTACAATGAATTAGCTGACTCACAGAAACCCCGCATTTAAAAAACCCGCTTCTGCCTAGTCATGGAAGGAAAACTATTTCATGCGGCGGCAGGGATTGCATTTCTACATTTATTGTCTCTGAGGTATAAAGTATCTATCTTAAACATACATGCAAAGGTCTATCTAAAAATAATTGAAATTAATTATTTAAATAATTTTTAATAAAATTATTATTTTTAAATTTCAAATTTTATTTATTTTTTCACTTTCATGATCCATGTTAGAGATAATATGTACTTAAAAATTAGGTAAAAAAATCCATCTCAAAATTACGCTTTTAAGAGATGACTCGTATATGCAGAAACCGTGTCCCCCATAGAAACCCCATGTTGAAAAACACTGCTTGTTATAACTGCAGAGCCCGTCTTATCCGATACCTCAAAATCCAAAGAGAATATATGGTATTTCCCACCTCTTTGATTTTCGCGCCCTAAAAAACGCTCAGTTTTAAATTTTTAGTGGAAAATGGCGATTTTTCCTTTAAATTTCTCCCTAAAAATCCTTAATGCACCCCAAATTGCTTGCAATACGGCATCCAGTGCATTCACACACGGCAAAAACCGTATAAATACGCATATTTCAACACCAGTATCATCGATTCCACACAGAGGAGGCAAAGTAGCTCGCTCTCAAAAAAACCAGGGTTTTTCCAATGAAGAAGCAAACGGGGCCTTAAAATACGAGCAGGCGAAACCTATGCGTTTGTTGTTCGAGTCTTTGCAGAGTCATGGGAGAGTGAATGAAGCTTTCGAGGTAAATTGCTACTTGAGGTTGAGCATAATCACAATTGGTGTATTTTAGACGGTTGATATATGATCCATGTATCATATGCTCCATTCATGTACAGTTTTTGTTGCGTGTATCTCGATTGAGTGTATCTAAGTATCTTTAATGGCGGGAATACGAATTTATTGAGTTTCTGTATATCGATTGCTTTTCTTTAAATTGTTTAGAGATTCTGTGTTGGAATTAGAATTTGTGTAGATTTATACTAACCATATGGTACTAAGAACTCCTTCCTAAAGGCTAACCTTACTTTTAAAGAGATTAAAACTTTCACATTTATTTATTTATTTATTGAATAATTTGATGGGAATTTAAGTATAGCCTTTAATTCTCCCCCCCTCTTTTTTTGATAGGTAAATAATGTTTGCACCTGTTGAGATAATCTTGATGCATTTCTAGCCTTGTGTTTTGAGTCTTAAAATGCCCTTCAGTTTGTAATGGTTTGACTCAATTTCAAATATATAAAAATTGGGTTTCATTAGTTCACCCCTAATAGTTGGGAAAAGGCTCTAATGATGATGACGATGAGTTCACGTCATCATTGAATCCTACGTTTCTGGAAATAATTTGGTACACAATTCAAGCTTCCTAGCATGCAGTATCACCATCACTCTTCACTTGTAACCTTAAGCACCCATTTATGTTAGGGGGTTTAATTCTCTAAAACCGTGTTGCTATGTTCCACTTGTATTGGCGTACCAACAAGTCTATATTTTATGGCATTGTGATGCTTTCTTTTACACACCAATTGATGAATAATAGGTTTAATTTCCTCAGGTAAAATTTAGTAATACTCTGTGTCATTCATCATGTCTTCACTTATCTTCAAAAATTGCATCACATTCCCTTTTATTGAAATTTTGAACCCTTATAATCATCATGTGAACCAGCTTTCAACTTTTATCAATTTGTAGATTTGTGAGTACTTCTAAGAGTTTGACCTCTCAACTAGACCCTAGGCTATCTTGATCCAATCAGATAGTAGTTCATTATTTCATTTTTATTTGATTGTGATTATTTGGGATTTCGTCATCTCATGTTTCCGGTGATTTTTTGAAAAATCAAAGTCTGGTTCTTTCTATCCATAAATTTGACCTTAGCCTCCTGTTCTTCCTACTACGATCCTATAAAATGCATTCTTGAATTTCGTGGTAGTTCTATTCATCAGGGGATTAAGTGATGGGGAAGAGGATGATACTTGCTGTGCCGGGATATTTGAAGTAGGAATGAGGTCCTCATCATGTAGCTATGGAGCTTCTACTACACATATTTGCATATGTATGCGAGCCAAACATGCATATACCCTTGCAAATTTGTGTTTATGTGTGTGCATGCATCTTTCTATGGCTCTATGCATTCCTATGCCTATTGTGGTTTTTTTGTGACCCTTACACCATTTAATTCAGCAACCCATCAATCCCAATCTTTCTTTATTTCTTTTTCTATTTTCTGTTGGTAGTAGTCCCATACAATATTAGAATTGAAGTGCACAAAGATTAAGAGTTCAATGTTTTAAACACAAGATTGAAGTGTTTAATGAATCAAATTCTTGCACTGCATGTGGGTGGCGAGATTTTTGCATCTATATGATAAGTTTTATGTAAATTTCACATGAGCCTATTTATATCCAATGAGTGTGCAAGTTAATCTATGGAGAAACATTATATCTTTTAACCTTTTTGGTTCCCTTATAAGATTTGTTTCTCGCGAGAAAAAAAGATTTTTTTTAATTGTTTCCTGGATCACTTGTTCTACTTGTTTATGTAATTCTTTCACAATGAAACCAGATATTCCAGTGGTTGATTCAGAGGAATGGTGAAAACTTCACAAAAGAAGATTACGCACCACTGATCCGATTTTTGGGGGAAAATCAAATGCCCCATGTAGTTCAGCGACTTTTCACTGAGATAGAATCCCAAAACTTTCGTACTGGTTGTACCACTTTATCAGCTTTAATGATATGTTGTGCAGAGAATGGCCTTTTTTCACTTTCTAATGCAATTTGGACTGAAATCATCAATAGTTCGTTTGAATTAGATATTGGGGTCGTGTCAGAATTAATGCATGCTTATGGAAAAGCAAACCTCTATGATGAAGTCTATAGGATGTTGAATGAAGCCATCTCCAGAGAGTTCAACTTGTGCCCTGAGATATACACTGTGGCAATCTCTTGCTTTGGCAAGGGAGCGCAGCTTGAGCTCATGGAAGCAACGATAAAAGAAATGGTGTCAAGAGGTTTCAAAGTTGATTCTAACACTGGCAATGCTTTTATAATTTATTATAGTAGTTTTGGTTCTTTGGCAGAGATGGAAATTGCATATGGGCGCCTAAAATGTTCTAGGATCCTTATAGAGAGAGAAGCAATTCGTGCTATGGCTTCTGCATATATCCGAGAAAGGAAATTTTTTAAAATGGGTGAGTTTTTAAGGGATGTTGGTCTTGGGAGGAGAAACTCCGGCAATCTCCTTTGGAATCTTCTTTTGCTCTCATATGCAGCTAACTTTAAGATGAAGAGTTTGCAGAGGACATTTCTAGGAATGCTGGAGGCTGGATTTTCTCCAGATATTACCACATTCAATATTAGAACGCTGGCTTTCTCAAGGATGTGCATGTTTTGGGATCTCCATCTTAGTATTGAACACATGAGGCACATGAATGTTATCCCAGATCTTGTGACGTATGGTTGTATTGTGGATGCTTATGTGGAAAGAAGATTTGGTAGGAACTTGGGCTTTGGTCTAAAGTGCATGAATTTAGATAGTTCCCCATTGATTTTGACTGATCCGATAGTATATGAAGTGTTTGGAAAAGGGGATTTCCATTCAAGTTCAGAGGCTCTTCTAGAGCTCAAGTGGAAAAAGGAATGGACTTACTCAAAGCTAGTTGCATTCTATCTCAAGAAACGATATAGGAGCAACCAAATTTTTTGGAATTATTAAAAGTTCATATGCAATTTTTGACTATGCAGCTTACAGAAGATATAGGTATAACTTAACCAATTCTCTTTATGATGTTAGACATTAATTACCTTCCTTTCAAGGTGTGTATGAAATTGTTCATAAATTGTTTTGGTTTGCCGTTTATGTGCATTGTCCATTTACAATATATTTCCTGTCATTTTATTTGTACACAATAATATCATCTGTTTATTCTTAGATCATTTTTCTTGCAAGGCTGCACCATCCAAAGGAAGGAAGATTGTGTATGCTCCATGCATGTTTTCTTCTTTCTCAGCCTTTGAGGAATTGGACATGTACCAAACAAAACTGAAATTTGGAAGCTTGCTATTAGATTCATCTGAGGCACAAATTTATAGAAATATTTCTCTGGCTAGCTACAAAACAATTTGATGAGGGATTTTGCATATTTTTTAAAGAAGTATGTTTTTATAATGGCATGATATAGTTCAAATCCTTATATGCATCTTAAGATTGAGATGGGAATTCAATGCAACATTTATTCTTCCCTTTCTCAATAAGGTCAATTATTTAGCCGCAACCATTTGATGAGTTTCTTAAATCATTGCAATGGATATCATATGACCCTGATTATTGGAAAATTTGATCTATTTGAAAAGTTATGAAAATCCTCATCCTTCCACTCAATTCTTCCAATGAGTTATGACCTGCTTTTGATGTGTATGAATAAGCGACAGTAACGTATTCAGTATGAAAATGATCAATCTAAAATCAATCTCTATTTCTCTCACTCACTAAATGCTCTTATTTGTTGTTTGGAATCCACACACAAAAAGACAATTGAAAATTTTAAAGTGGATCGAAGTTTGTTGCAAGGAAAATGCCTGAAGTGCCCATATCTCACCCCAAGAAGATGAATTACTCACAATTCACCTATGTGGACATTATAGACAATTTCATGGTGTGGGATATGGATTATAGACAATTTCCCATTGGTGGTGGTTGTTGAAATATCTTATGCTGAAAGGCATACTAATTTGCTGGCTGATAGAGATCAGATGGCATGTTCTCAATGGTTAACTTGGGACGGAAGCATGTTCTTAGCCACCATGAGTTCCTGTACTCATCTTCCTCTGTCGGTTATTCCCATTGAACGAATTTTTCAGTTATTAGTTATCAAAGGAAGAAAAATCATATGTTAGAATGATAAAATATCACTCTTATGGGAGGTGTTCTAGTGGCATCGGAAGTTACATTGGAACTTCAAACTGTAAGTTGCATTAAAGAAAAGAAAGGGAACTAGTGTGATAAATTGTCAGCTTTCTGGAAGTATGTTTTTAGTATCAATATTTACATCGGAAATTTTGTGGCTATGGACTTTCTTTATCATTATTTTTTGCTAATTATGAAGGGTTTTCCTATAAAGAAAATGAATTTGTTATAGATGAAAGCTCTTTTCTGCTTTTCCATTGGCATACACGTCTTATTGTGTTTAGTACAAAGCAAGAAAAGCCTTATTAAACGTAAACGTAAAAATTAAAAGAAATGAAGAGCAAAAGAGCTGTTCCTTGAGCTGGCCAAGCAGCATGTTGTAGGTGTTGAAAGCCAAGGAATCTTTAGCTCCTTTCTTCAACTCTTTCGTTTGGCATGAACGGGAAAAATCTGCCGAGAACCTCAAACATGAGGTTTTTTCTCTTTATTCTCTTTTTTACACAGTATAAATCTATCATGAAGTAAAGAAGCCCCAGTATTTGGCTCTGGTTTCTGACTTAATCAGCTATGGAATGTCCTCCTCCCAGTCGAAAAAACTCCACTTGAGTGTCTACTTGCTCCACCATCCTCATGTAGAAAATTTGGATCACTCATCACTTCCTGCAAAAGTTCACATACAATTTATTAGATTTTAATTGGCTGGTGCCCTTTTATTGTGCTTTCCATGCGCTTGTATTCAGGTTCATGAGAGAGAGAGCAGGCCGGTGTTCTTTTGTTCTGCTGCCCATGTGCATGTATTCAAGGTTCATGTGAGAGAGAGAGAGAGAGGAAGCAGGCTGGTGCCCTTTTGTTGTGCTGCCCATGTGCTCGTATTTGAGGAGAGAGAGAGAGAGAGAAAGAGAGAGAACAGCATGAAAGAGTTACTTTAAATGCTTCATGTTTCCAAAAATTCTTTGCTCTTTCCATGGTGCCCTATGACATGAGCTGTGGATAGAGAAGAAGACAGTAGCATATATTTAAGGAAAGGATCATCAAACAGGGAGTGGTACGAAGCAGAGGCATGGAGAGAACTTCAAAATAACTAATAGCTGTTGAGGACCTTCTGATTTGCTTACATCAAAATCATGCACAGGATACTGGCTTCGAGGGCTAGATTCCCAAAAATTTGCGAAACTAATGTATGACTAAGATGGGACGAGGCCTTGATTTGAAATGATAGCCATTATTCTTGCTGGCACATCGCTAATTTTGGCCCTTAAGAGTTGGGAATGACTGTCTCCATTTAACATAATTTTGAGCAGTGTCTCCATGTATAAGACAGTGAAAGATAGGTTGGAGAAAGAAATATTGAAAGTAAAGGGGTTAATGTGACTGGATGGAAACATCAAGGATACAAAATCACTAAGAAAACAATTGAGTCCTTTTATGTGTTGATGTCTCCCTTCATGTATACATGCATCTTTTGGTCGAAGTATATATATGCATGACTGTGTGTTAGCTGAGTATATAGGGTATTATCCTATATAGCCCAATTGACTATGAAATGAAATTATGGACGATCATAGAGAAAGATTGGGATCCTCCAGCTGTCATCTCATGTCCTGGTGCGCTCCACTCTCTCTCCGTCATCATCCATCATGTAATTCGATGTAGATGACACCAATGGACTATCGTTCTCCATTACCCATTTGATTACTTTATACTTTCCAATTATGCATGAATTGTAAAAATTCTTATGATACCTGCATAATGTAGGGGCGGCTGTGATGGGGGGAGGCATGGTTGCTTCTGCCTGTAAATGGCGAGCTTTCATCAGCCAATGCTCTTAGCCTGTTGAGTTCAGGCAATATGACCTTCGTAAGATCAGGCCGGTCCTTTCGTCTAAGCTCCGAGCACTTTAGTGCAAGTTGGGCAAAGGAAAGGGCCTCCTCTTCAGGCCAGTCTGGCACCGTTGGGTCAAGCATATCCTTAAATGTGTCCTTCTCAATTGCCCTCTCAATGTAATGGGTCAATCCCATAGGTGGCTTAGCACTTATCATCTGCAAAAGCATAATGCCCAGGGAGTATATATCCGACTTAATACCAAGCATACCTGTTTGTTGGTACTCAGGATCAATGTAGCAAAACGTCCCCGCTGTAGAGGTCATTCTATATTGTGTGACAGTATTGGCAACATTCTGGGGTACAAGGCGGGCTAAGCCGACATCACTTATCTTGCTAACGTAGTTGTGATCAAGGAGTATATTACCCGGTTTGAGGTCTCTATGGACGAGGGGTTCGGGCTTGGTTTGATGGAGGAAGAGGAGAGCGGTGCCTATCTCAGCGGCTATGCGAAAGCGTTGTTGCCATGTAAGGGAAGGGGAATTGCCTCTTCGAAAGAGGCAGTCCTCGAGGCTTCCATTAGCCATGTACTCGTAGACCAGGCACCCATACTCTGGGCAAGCACCGAGAAGAAGGACCATGTTGGGGTGCCTTATGCAGCTGAGGACTTCGACCTGCAAAAATCCCAATGGTCATCTAGTGTTTAAATGATAGTGGTCTGTTGTACCAGTAGTGATTCTCTATATGAGTAGTGGTTGTAGTTGTAGTATCCTGAAAGCCATTTCTTAGAGATGAGGGTTTTAGGTATAGCTGCATTTTTTCCTTGGATTGATTTTCTCATTTAGCTATGATGCTCGAGTAACTGGTGCATTATATCATTTTTAGACAAGCAGTAGTTGTAACAAACGACAATCGCATTGTAATGATAACAGTGGTAATAGTCATACTAGTTATTGTTATTGCAATGAAAGCTATAATAGTAGCAGCAATAGTACTAATAATAAATGGCGGTGTTGTTTACAGTTCTGATGGTGGTGGTAGTGATTGTTGTTCCTCACACACATGCATGTGTATACATCTATATATATTTGTGTTTGTGTAAGTGTGAATTAAAATTCCATGTAAATGCATGCTTGTCTTATATATACTAGTGTGTGCATGTGTATGTGTGCACTGGATTTGTTCGTATGTATGAGAGAGAGAGAGAGAGAGAGAGAGTTTTCGCATGTTTTTGACCTACCTCTTGCTGAAACTGCATCCGCCCTTGTGCCGCATCAGGGCGCAGTACCTTGATGGCCACTGATGTGTGCTCAAGGTAACATTTGTATACCGGACCGTATCCACCCTCACCAATCTTACGGTCTTCTGCAAAAAAATCAGTGGCAGTCTCTATCTCCTCTATTGTGTACTTCCGATACCTAACATCTGTATGAGCCAACGCATCCAAAGCCTTCTTCTTCTCCTCTGTCTCCTTTTGGGCCTTGAGCTCAGCATTTCTTCTCTTTTGTGATTCAAGCTCAGCAATCCTTTGGGCTGCCTCAGCTGCTTCCATGGCTGCCTTGCACTTAGCTTTCTCCTTCTCGGCGACAGCTCGGGCAGCTTCCTCGGCCAGCATTGCTTCCTCTAGCCTATGTTCTTCCTCCATCTTCCATAGATGAAGCTCTCTTGCCTGTCATTACACAATCACTTAGTTGCAACTATCAAATGAAAAACTGTGGGTCGTAATTCAGTTTAGATAATATTCCATTCGGATTATATGATAAAGATTTGCAAAGAGAAAACTGTTGTATCATCTAATTTGAGTAGGATGATATTTAATTGCAATTATATTGGAAAGAAAACATGTTGATTTTGATCGGTTTAGACTAATATACAATTGCTTATGTATTGTAAGATTTAAAAGTCGTCGAAATCAGAAATTCGGCTAACTTTAGCTTTATTCTTTTAAATAATCTCTAAGATTTTATTGATTTCAGATAGTTGCAGTATGTAGTAATTTGTTGTGAGATTTCCTGAACTTGATTTGCAAAGGTACGTACTTTGTAGATCTGGCCGTAATTGAGTTTTTCGTCTTCGGCGCATGCATGCTATCTTGGAAACCTGTCTTCTTGGATTTCAAATTACTTTCTATATTTATGAAAAAGGTGGTTTTGAATTTTAGCAGTATGAGGTTGCAATTTTCATTTGAATGCATAGAATGAATGTCGCAGACCGGTTTCTGCGTCTCCCACTGCCTTCTGCTTTTCTGAATTCGTGTTTCTAGTGTCCAAAGTTCAAAGTCACCGTATTCAATTTGGTCAAGCATGCTATGGATAGGGCAGAGAATGGGTCGGATCGGGACCGAATTTGGATCCGAAAAGTACATGGGATCCAGATCCATATCTAGACCTGATTGGATCCAGAATATTCCGATCTAGATCCGAATCCAAAAGGTACACATGGAATCTGGATCCGGATCCAGATCCAAACCCAATTGGATCAAAAAATAATAATTTATATTTTATTTAATATATATAAAATAAATAAAATAATATATAGCAAAAAAATACTATATAACATATTTGTTAATATTATATAATAATTTATAATATGTTAATAATTAGGTCAGATCCGGATTGGTTCCGCCTGTACACGGATCCTATCCAGATTACTATTTGAATCCAAATTTTTGATTCGGATCTGATCCGTCGGATCCATACCCGAATTTGGATAGGGTCCAAAATTCAGCTTTCGGTTCCAAACCGGGTAAATTCTCTGCCCTAGTTATGGAATCACTGATCTTGATTAATTAGCATTTAGCATCTTTATGATTGTTGTTGTCGAGGTCAATCAACGAGCTGAAATTTCTTTTGAAAGAAAGATAACAAGAAAAACTGTTCTGGAAGTTATAGAGCTAGTGTTTGGTCTTAACCAGATAGTCGCATGATTCGACCTGAAAAGCAACAGTGTTTCAATTATACATCAATAAGCAGTATTTCTCTGATGCCAGTCAGTACTGTGACCATTGTTGACATATAAAAGACCAACAGAAGCGCTTAGTGTTTTAACTTGGTCCTACTGCTAAAAAATTAGATGTTTCACCTTATTCTTGGCATTGAGTGCTTCTTTGCATGCTGAACTGTACATGTCCATAGTCTGCTTCAGCTCTAGCCTCAGTCTCTTCATTTCAGCTTCCACATCTTCCTATAACACAATATATAAATCTTCTATCTTTAAAGCCAACTTCCAAACCATAGAAGTCCCGATTGAATACTTGGAAAAATGCATCTCAGTTTACCATTGTTTGCGATGACCATGACGTCCTACTTTCCATCTCTTGAGAAACTGTGGAGAATTCAGGTGCAGTGGAGGCTGAATCAATGGACTTGTGGTCCCCTGAGTGTATGGATTCAAAGCTATGATTATGGTTGAAGTCCTCCTCAATGCTATGGGCTCCACTTGAAAGCCTGGGGGGTCTTGATGATTCAAAGTGTTCATAGAGCGAAGCTGGGTAAAAACGATCAGCGCTCTTCTTTCCATGGCTCACGTAGGATATATCGCTCTCTGGCATTGTATTCTCACTTAACCTTGGATTTGAACCTCTCCCTCCCCTTGCAAATGGTGACCTGATTCTCACAAAAAGTAACTGGTCAATTACACAACCTAGGTTGGGCAGTTTGGTCATTTGTTACTATATGTCAGAGACGTGTATTTGAGAGGTATGTCTCCGTAAGCAACACCCTGTACGGAGCATTGTTAACTTGGAGATACTAAAGAAATGGGATACAATAGAGTGTTACATTTCGTACACAAAGTTGTGAACACCCCAAGCCATCGGATGTGAAATTGGATGGCTGGGGTGTGTCATTTCTCCGCTCAGAGTCTAGGAAAAGTTTTCTCGGACTTTGAGCCCTGTCATGGTAGGGCCCCAATTCCTCGATTTCGCATTTAATAGTTGGAAGTGATGTGACTTTTTCATTACATAGGTAAATAGTCTTATTGTATATTTTCCCTACAAAATATTGTCCCTCGTATACAATTCCATGGCACCGCACCCTAATATTGAAATTTGCATAAGAAATGTCGACCCTCAGCATAAACTCCTTTTGTGGCCCTAGCAAATTACCAAAATGGCCTTGCTAACAAAGGTTTACTTGAACAACTTCTGTTGTTTTTTGTCAAATTTGGTGGAGTTCAACTTTGTTGGGAGTGTCTAACCTTAAAAGTTATATCCAAGGCTAATATGTAAAATTCTAAAAAACTCAATTTGCAGCTGATTTTCCAAAAAATCGAAATGTCAACTGGATCGCTTACATGATAGGGTCACTGTGGTCTCCAAGTCGTTTTTGTTCATGTCCTGCACCTACTGAGAATAAAAGAAAAAAAAGTTGAAAGTATTGGACAAAAACTATAACTCAAAGATCAATTATGTACAACCTGGGAATAAAACTAGAAAGTAAATTGAAGTCTCTAAAGAATTACAATGAATAAAATGAAAAGAGAACCTTTAATTGGATGAATCGGAGAAGGTATATTTGATGCAGTGATGGGGTGATTGCGGGGAGACGAGTTGCGGAGCGGTGGGGGTGGAGCCGGACGGACGGCAGAACGAACGGATGCCAGCTTCCCTTTGGAGATTACGTAAACAGTGCAAAAATCCGGGGTGCCCTTGGAAATGCTTGTTGGTATGTCATGACTCTTGAATCTTCTGCATGGAAAAGCACTCATATTGCATTTTTTTTTTTTTGACAAATACTCATATTGCATTTCTACAATGTTTTGAGTTGATTGCTTTCTTTTAATTTCCTTTCTAGCTCTTTTGTTGTGTTTCTCTTGTTGGGTTGGGTTCTCTCTCTCACACTCTCTTTAGTGGGGAGTGAGGGTGCTTTATGCCTTGATAATAGAGCTTCTGCATGACCGTTTTCTCTTTGTTTTGGTTATGATATGTCTATATGCATGCATGTTGTAAGAGAGAGAGAGAGGGACGCAGGAAAAAAATTCAAAGGAAGAGATAAGTTAGGAGAGCTTAAGTTTGGTGCTTGATTTGTTTATCTTTTACTAATTTGGAAGGTAAAAAGAGAGAAAGTAGGGATGGTACATGAGATAGAAAAAAATAGGAAGGAGGGATTGAGAGAGAAATTAGGGAAACGAGATTGGAAGGAAGATAGGGAAAGTACAGTCTTTTGAGAGAGAGATTTTATTTAATTTAGGATTCATTTTGTAGTTTTTTTTTTTTTTTTGAAGTGTGTTTAAAGAAAAGAGGTCAGAAAATGATAAGAGCGAGTTGAATAAAGTTCCTAAATTCTCAGTACCTGATATCTCACAGCAAAAGTATACTCTATGCTTACCAAATGTAGAGAGAGAAAAAGAGAGAGACCTGAGAAATGAGCTTCGGGTGGAGGCCCCAAGAACCAGATTATCAATGGATTCCAAGGCGACATAGTCAATAATTGCCTTGGTTACATCTGAGTCCTCCAATATCGCATCCTTGCAGTGCACCTTGAACGCCACATGAAATCATACCATGAATTACTGGAATTTCCTCATATGACTACCCCCAACTTGGATTAATTATCTTCTAAAGTAAAGTAACTCTCACTTCTCAATGAAAATTGTTAATGACCCATATGGTGATTATGACAACGGCTCAGACAATCCGATCGACTTGATAGTGATGGAGCGATAGTGGAGATGCCTTGGGACCACGATGACTAGATGGATCATACTGGATAACTTATTGCTAATAATGTTATTTTTATGATGACTTATTTTATAGAGCAATTAAAATTTAATTTTATAAAATATATATCAAGTTCAGACAATTTTGAGGCATAAATGGAATGAGTCGGTGATGAGTGGCACCAGCACGATGAAGAGGAAACATCTTTCATTTTGGTATCAGGTTGTATTTTAATTGTTGTATGTTCTATTTTAGACTATGTTTTTATAAGGATAATTGTTTCATGACCGTATTTGTACAATATGCGGTCCCAAGGTATAAAGCATCCATCGTAAAGATGGATGCAAATACGTGATCCATCTAAAAACAAGTCCAAATGTTTTCTTAATAGAAGTATTATTTTTAGTTTTTAAATTTTATTATTTTTTCATATTCATTACATGCCCTAAAAAATTAAGTTTAAAAATCCATCTGAAAAATATATTTTTAAGAGGTGACCCATTTCTACATTTACTCATAGAAACCGTATATGATTGTAAGATTTTTTTTTTGTTTTAGACTTTTAGTGATGTGAATTGAATGGTCAACAAAGACAAGGAAACGGCGTCTCAATATTTACTAATACTTATAAAATAATGATAGTATATAATGCACAATCTCTACTTTTTGGAAAACTAAAAAAAAAAATTTATGGATTTTTAGTGATTTTTTGAATGTTTTTTTAGACCAGCTAATTCGATTGATTCTCTAATATAAATCACCAATCTATCAATCCGACCCAATTATTTTGGGCAGCCGATCTGAGTCACTGATCCCTTACCTTAAACATTTGACTATCATAAACGGTTATAGATAAGTGAAGAGATTGAAAGTACTAACATCTTTTCGAGTACAAAAGCAACGAAAAGGCATAAGTAATTCTCTGATTTGCGCCTCCATCTGCTCCCGAAACGCGCTTGCAACTTCTTCGCTGACCTCAGATATGGAAACATGGTTGCCCACTGCAAACAAAATAGATTTTTTACTTACCCAAGAAAAAAGAAAAAAGAAAAAAAGCATTCCCAAATAGTTCAAATGAATGTGGTACATTTTCATGGATAAAAATTCTGAAAAAATATAGCCATTGGATTAGTACGCAAAAATTCTCCGGAGAAACCTTTGAAGGCCAAATGGAGTAAATGTATTTTGTGGGAAAATAATGGATCAAACCGGTGTTTTAGTTACTGATTAAAATTGTGACACGAATTGGAGGATCACTTGAAGGGTATGTTGGTCATTTAGAAAATAATTTCTTTGAAAAACATACGAACAAGCCATTGATTTAGAGAGAGAAGAAAGGAAGTGGTTTAGAGAGAGAGAGAGAGAGAAGAAGAAAGGCACTTGGTGTAGGCACTGTTTGGATCTTGTTCTTGACATGAATGAGAGTGATGGTTTGGCCCTTTGTGACCAAGTGATCGACTGCCCACTTCAGAGCATATTGGCTCCCTTTGTCCTTGTCAATTGCCACAGCCACATGCTCATGCTCATGCTCATGCTCATTCTCATGATGATGAGCACCTTCTTTCTTCTCTAAACCACCTCTGTGATTCCACATCTCGCTCTACAACAAATATATTATTTTTCTCTCCTATTGTTTTATCTCCTGCAAAACTTTCTCTCTCTAAATTTCTCATGCAAATATCCGAGAGAACCCCATTCCATTCTCTCACTTCTGTTAAATCATAGAGAAACTCTTGCTATGCTCCTCTCTCTTTCCTCATTGCTTAGGGAAGCAAGGGCATAAAACCCCCCCCTTCTCTCTCTCTCTTCAAATCCTTGGGGTAAAAAAGAAGGTGCTTTCTGCTCCTCCCTTTTCTTTTCAGAGAAAAAGTCCTCACCCTCCCCTCTTTCTCTCTATTGCTTAACTCTTTTTTGCTCTCCTCTTTTGTAACCTTTCTCTCTCATCTCACCAAAACATGTGGCTGTCACCCCTTCTCTCTCTCTATAACTAGTGGTCAGTCCTTGAGAATAGGGGTGGGGTCCCTAAGAATCAATTTTCTCTCTCAAACTATATGTGGTGAGCTCCTTATCAATTTCTCTCTCTATAATTAGGAGAGAGAGAGAGAACCCGGCCCATTCCGTACGCGCACTTCCCCTCCCTGTTTTGTACTTGGTCAATTGGGCTCGCGAATTTGGGATCCTAACGGTTGAATAAGGATCTTAACCGTTGAAAAGCTGATAGCAATCCTCGCATTTCTCTCGAGGACACTGCGATTCTTATCAATTATCAATGTGGAAACGATAAATATGAGAGAGAGTGTAACTGTGTTTTTTAGAGAGAGAAAATAGCATAACATTTCTTAAGTTAAGAGAGAAACATGATTGATTTTTAGCGAGAGTAGGATAACCTTTCTTAAGTTAATAGTAGGATAACATTTCGAAGTAATTGATATGGAGAAGAAATTTAATATAGGTTTCTCATTTTAGGGGAAGAGAGATAAAGATAAAGAGAGAGAACATTCGGGTAATTATTAGGGAAAGAGAGAATTTAGAGAAGAAAATTTAATAATATAAATGTTTGTTACAAGGAGGGCTTTCTACTTCTTTTAATTATTTTCATTTTTGCAGTAATTATTTGACATTGTTTTTTTAACAAAGGGCGGAATATAGAAAGCTTTCCGTTCTACTTTGAGGAAGCTTTCTATGTTTCCTCTACAACATAAAAGTTCTATCCTTCCCTTATCCAACCATCCATTTTTGAATGGAGGGTTAAGATTGTCCCAATCACAATGTTACGTCTTTACACTGTTTTATTTTTAATTGTTTTTCTATAAATTGTTTTGACACCAAATTTAGGATGTCCATTCTTTTATTAAACTCGCACTAACGAAAAATATAAAAATAAATATTTTCAATAAAATAAAATGACCAAAATACCTCTGAAAGTTTCAAGGGGTATTTTGATCATTATTTTTTATCAAAAAATTATTGTTAATATTTTTTATAGGTGCGCCCCAATGAGAAGATGGTATGTACCAAATTTCATATTCAAAAAAATTATATTAAAAAAAAAAACTAAAAATAAAATACTTTAAGATATCAGATCTAAGATCAAACAGTGAGTAGCTCTCTTGATAAAATATGGATGGCTGGATGATAGGGGGAGGATAGAACTTCTATGTTGTATGGAGAACATAGAGATCTTTCCCTTTACTTTACAGTGACATTATATGTACTCTCATTAGAGCATCTCTCATTCCCAATGGTAAAGACCGTGTACATATACATCCTATGGAGATTCAAGTGGATTAAGAGGCAAGATCGCTACCTTGTTTTTCATAATTTCATCTCCATGCATATTTATTGCAATGACAATTTTTCTTTTTCTTTTTTTTATGTTGAATTTTTTGTATTTTTTCTTGAAATTTAAATAGATTTTTTATTTTATTATTTTGAATGTTAATCGATGTATTTTTTTTTATAGTTAGTTTTTTTTTATGGTATCCAATAGGTTCTCGAAGAACTGTGCCGGTCTTTCATTCTTTTTGTAATTATTTGACATTACTTTTTAATAAACGCTCCTTTGACATATGAAATAATTGCTATTATTGCTAGATTGTTAGGGAACATTTATTTTCTTATTTTTATGTATGAAGCTTTAGCATATCTTTATTTCAATCTCCTAGGGTTTATTTGGTTCCTTGGATTTTCCAATCCTGCTGAATAGTGTTATCCTAACATTGGTATTTATTGAAATTAGCATTTCCTGAAATATAGTATACGTTGTTTGGATTGCATATGATAGAAACCGGGAAAATGCAAATTTAT